TTTAGACATGATTAAGGTAGGAAGCAAAATGCACTCAGTGATTGGTCAAGGTTTGACAGCAAGTTTTTCAATTGATCACCATAGAAGCTCTTTCTTTTGGCAATGTGTTCGATCTCTAAGGTGTCTTTACCACATTCATGATTATGGAGACAGTAGGGACGTAAAATTGTGGTCGAAGATAATTCAAATGGTGATGGGGATACATGAGTTGACGGATTGCTGATTTTTATCTAGGCGATCGACGGAAAACGGAAGGGGCGTTGCAGATTTAATACGCAAGATAGCTGGTGAAATCTACACGTGGTTGTTCACAAGTACTGCTCCAGAGACTAGTGAAAAACAAAGGTACGAAGTTATACAATAATATTAAAGATAAATTTGACCCTTACAGACAATTATCAGCTGAAAAGCTTTTTAACTTTTTCCTGCAAAAACATGATTTTTGCGCGGTTAGTAAAGAGCCAACTTGAAGAGTCAATTTGGTTATTGCGATGAACTGAAAGAATACTCTCAAAATCGCTGTTACTGTTTCTAGTATGTGTAGGCTCAAACTCATCAATTAAAGAAGTTTTGAAAACATGATAACCCATGCGACATTATGTGCTCTGATCTAAATAATTCGTATCTAAACAATCGTAGCGGTGAATTGAGTCGACAGTCACGCACTATTGTCAGATATTTTTATTAATTTTTAACTTTATTGAATGAAAGAGTATAGCTATCTTTTTAGAGAAAGGAAGGAAAGCCGTTCTTGTTGCTGCCTGCAATCAGTTGCGGGTAAAAAACAGCTATATTTTGCCGTTAAATAAATATCGCCATCACAAAACAAACATCTCACCAAATCGGCGTGACATTGCAAACTTTAAAATATGTTTTCAGAAAAAAAATCGCAAATGGTTTTTCCATTCCGTTAGATTATTCTCCCTTTTGCCCTTGAAGAATCCATTTCAGAAACGCACTAGTTTTGGAAAGAGTGTGGCAGTGTGGAGAAATTTGGCCGCAACTCAAATACTTCTCTCTTCTTCGCCAACATAAATGGAATGCATTTTTTTCTAGGATTACGTATCTTCAAAACAAAACGGGGAAAGGATATCAATTAAACATCACCTTTTTCTTCCTTTCAAAGGATTAAGCCTGGCAATTTCCAATTCTGCATTTCCAAGACTACTAGTGTAAGGGAATGCAAGTTATCCAAGCATGAAAAAATTTTACCATATTCCATCTTTGGCTCTCTTCACCGCTGTTTGTGTTTCACAGTGAACACGCCATTTTGAGAAAAGCTAAACCACGTTTATTTGATTGAAAGTTTATACAAACCGGAAACTATGACGAACACCGGAAGTTCACGTATTGTGAAACATCTTCCCTTTTTTTTTTTTTTTAATTTTTTTTTTAAACAAAAAATAACAATAATGACCTAATCATGACAAGTGTCCAAAATGCACTTAACAAAAAAAAATATCTGCTTGTACATGTAACAGTTTCATGCTAGTAAAAATAAAAGCAAATAAACAACAACAAAAAAGTGTCTCAATGTTCAGTGTCTCATGTTCAGTGTCCATAACTGGTTTAGACGCTCAGACATAGTCCTTGAATCTCACAGGTGCCTTCACAATTCTGGTACGGGTTGATTTCAGTGGCGCACTAAGATTCTGCTGCGGGGTATCGCTGACTTTAACTGGTGTGGTCACATCACTGTGATTGGTACTCCTCAATGCTGTTTGTCCTTCTGTCTCTGCCGGCACAGATGAGGGTGGTTTTGTTTCAGCAATAGTAGTCTCACCAGTCATTTGGGTGTCTTTCTTGGGCCTCAATGCCTGTCTGTTTCGACGTAGTGTGTTTCCATTGACTTCAACAAGGTATGAGCGATCTGATAGCTTCTGGACACAGGTGCCGGCTTCCCAGACTTTGTTTCGCTGACCAGCTACCCTAACTTCTTGGCCTATTTCAAGCTCTGGTATCACCTTGGCACTCCTATCGTAATAGCCTTTAGCTGTCTGCCTCTTGGCCTTCAACTTCTCTTTGACTCCTTCTTCTACTCTGGGGTACAGAAGATTTGCTGATACCGGTAACAATGTACTTGTTCTTCGGGACATCAATCTCTGTACAGGGCTAGAGTTCACACCTTGTGTTGGTGTGTTCCGTTGATCCAATAACTGTGAGCTTTCTTGAAAATCCTCTTGGCCACTTTGACTGCGGATTCGGCCTTGCCATTGGATTTGGCATGTTTAGGTGATGATGTCACGTGTTTAAACTCCCATTCTCTGGAAAACTCTGTGAACTCTCGGCAGCAGTACTGCTGTCCATTGTCGGTAACAAATACATCAGGTATGCCATGGCGACTGAATTGACCTTTGAGGAACTCTTTGATGTAGCCCGCAGTTGTGCCTTTTAACTCGCCAACTTCTATGAAATCTGAGTAGTTGTCTGCAAGCACTATGTACTCCTTGCCGTTCAGAGTGAACAGGTCTGACGAAACTCTGCTCCATGGATGATCAGGTATTTCATGTGTCTGCATTGGCTGCTTGACCTTCTTCGCTTGGAATGCTGTGCATATCTCACATTTCTCAACAGCTTCTTTGATGTCTTTGGTCATGGAGGGCCAGAAAACTACATCTTTTGCTCTTCGTAGACATGCTTCAATTCCTTGGTGACTGGAATGAGCTCTTGCGGTCAGTTCTGGCCTTAAAGCTTTTGGAATGATGACTCGCTGATTCTTGAAAATGATGCCGTTGTGAAGTGTTAGTTCTTCTCTGTAATTCCAAAATTCTCTAATCTGGACTGGTACTTCTTCTCTCCTCTCTGGCCAACCAATCAGAATGGTAGTTTTGAGAGTCTGCATGACCGGGTCTTGTTCGGTGGCCTTTTGAAGCTGGGGCAGTCTCTCACCACTTATCTTGATGGTATCAATCAGGTTCATCGCTTCCAGCTCCAGAGCGAAAACTTGAAACTCTTTGTCCTCTGTGCCTGTATCTTTCAGGAAAGCTCTGGACAGGTGATCGGCCACAAACATCTGCGTTCCTGGTTTATAGACCACTTCAAGGTTGTATCTCTGTAGCTGAAGCATCATTCTTTGGAGATGGCACACACAGAAGCGATTTCTTGATTTATGATCTGATTCGACAGTGACTTTCTCTTGTCTTGTGATGTACTGTGAGAACTTTTGGCAACCGAACACAATGGCCAGACATTCTTTCTCTATTTGTGCATACCGTTGTTCAACTGCAGACAGTGTTCGCGATGCAAAGGCAACTGGCTGTCCGTTCTGGAGGAGTGTCGCACCAAGGCCTCGCTCGCGGGCATCGCACTGAATAGTAACCTCATCATTGATGTCGTAATACTTGAGTACTGGATGGTTTGCTACCAACTTCTTCACTTCATCGAATGCCTTGTCGTGTTGCTCAGACCACATAAACTGGGCGTTGGTCAGGGTCAGATTTCTCAACGGATAGATAGTCTTCAGTCTTCAGATAGTCTTGGTAAGAATTTGGCCAGATAGTTGATGAAACCCAGTAGACTAAGAGTCTCTTTCTTACATGTTGGCTTGGGCATGTTTTCCACTGCGTTGACTTTGTCTGGATCTGGTTTGAGACCATCTTTGCAAATAACATGGCCCATGAACTTAATCTTCTTGCTGTTCAGCTTCAGCTTGAGTTTGACTTCTCTGGCTCTGTCTAGAAGTTTTCTGAGGTTTTCATCGTGGTTGGCATCAGCTTCTTCCTGGGTATCTCCATATCCAACTACTAGTAGATCATCTCGAAGAATTTCGATGCCTTCCAATCCGGTAAGCTTTTCGTGTAGCTTACACTCGAACTCCTCGGGAGCCACGCTAATACCAAATGGCATTCTTAGATATCTGTATCTGCCAAAGGGAGTCCAGAGAGTTGTTTTTTTACTGCTCTCTTCATCTAATCCGATCTGATAGAACCCATCTTTTGCATCAAGTGTGGTAAATACTTTCGCTTTCCTGAGTTTTGGGAGTATCTCTTCTAATGTTGGCATCTGGTACTTAGGTCTCTGGATTGCCTTGTTCAAATCTCAGGGGTCGAGACAAATTCTTATCTTTCCTGGCCTGGACACGATGACCATACTGCTGATCCAATCTGTGGGGTCGGTAACCTTTTGAATGATGCCTTTCTTCTCCAACGCTGCGATCTTCTTCTTGACTTCCTTTTGTAGAGTTACAGGTATCCACCTGGGTGCGTGCTGCTCTGTACCCATACTGTTTACTTGCACTGTACCTGATAAGGAAAGCTTCAACAGTCCCAGCTTCACACATGTTTCCGCAGATAGAAGAGGCTTGTTTACAGTCTCAACAATCTGAAAGTCCAACTCTTGTCTTATTGTCTCGATGTATCTTTAGGGTGGCTACACCAGAAGGCTTCATGAGAGAACCGTCAAACAACTTGAGCTTCAATTTACTACTTCTCAGTGGTGGATCTCCTGTTTGGCTTATGATGGCCAGATCGCGCAGGCTCATCACGTTGCACGTGGCGCCGGTGTCTAGCTGGCATTCCAATTCAGTGTTGTATAACTCTTCTGTGTCTGAAAAGATTATCTTGGCATTGAGTTGTTTGCCTGCCGTCTTCATGCTGGAGACTTCTTCAATTTTAAAGAGTGGATCTTCATCATCGGTCAAATCATCATAGGAGTCATTGGACGTATCCGTTTCTTCGGTGACTTGCTTCACGCTTTTGTGTCCTCTGGATACTGTCTTTTCTGCCTGCTGGCTTGTTTTTAAAGCAACAAACCGATGCGAAATGATTCGGCTTCGAGCACAGGTGACAGGTTTGACCATGTGCTTTGCATTCTTCTTTCCTATGTTGCTTTGTTGCTCCGCATCTGCTGCAATTCTTCTTTGCGCCCTTTGTAGCCTTTCCATTCTTTCCATATTTTGCGTCTTTCTTTTGTTTGTGCCGCTTGTCGAGTCGTTTCGCTTGACTGTTCACAGCGTTGACTTGCTCATCTGTTTGGATTTCCTCCTGTTTCATAAACTTGAGCTATTTGGAAGCCGTTTCATTAGACCTGCAAATACTGAGTGCTTTATTCAGGTCCAGTTCATCTTCTTTGAGTAGCCGTATTTTTGAAGCTTTATCTTGGACACCTATTATGATTCTGTCTCGTATCATCTCATCCGTGAGCGTGCCATATTTACACGACGAAGCCATCTTTCTCAATCGATTTACAAATTCGTCTATTCCCTCTTCGGAACTTTGTGTAGCTGAATTAAACAGAAATCTCTTGTAGACCACATTTGTTTTTGGCTTGAAATATGCTTCCAAAGCTTTTAAACTGGAGGTCACGCTTGTCCTTTCTTCCGGAGTCAACTCTAGGTTTAAAAATATCTCAAGACAGTCTTTCCCCATGACTGAGCGAAGGGTTGCTAAACGAACTGGTTCTGGATGATGTTCGAGACCGGTGCCAAGCTCGTAGTCTTGCCATTGCTGTCGAAAGAACTTCCAATTTGTGACTCTGTCGCCGGATATTTTCATTGGGCTTGGAACTGGAAAGTTCGAAGTAAAATTCAAAACTGGAGCGCTTGGCGCTTGTTGTCCTGATGAACTTTCGTCAGGTGGAGGCATGTCTTCTTCGTATTTCGTCTTGTTTTTTTGTAACTCTGTTGCCAAAGTGCTTTCGTCTTCTTAGATCTGCGTTTTAACAGCTTTTTGTGATGAGTTACGATGACTTTTACAGTTGCCAAGACTGTTTTTCCTGGCACTTTTTACTCTGACACCATGTTTGTGTTTGACAATGAACACGCCATTTTGAGAAAAGCTAAACCACGTGTATTTGATGGACAGTTTATACAAACCGGAAACTATGGCGAACACCGGAAGTTCGCGTATCGTGAAACAACTGCTGCTGTTTTCATCTGTCGCTTGCTCGTAAACTTACATCCAGCTTCACAAGAAGCTGTAATTGGGAAGAATTTGATGTGACTTACTTGGCTGTTTGTTTGTATTTTTCCTCGGTTAAACTTCAATTTAATCAAACCTGTCAAAAATAAACGTATTTGTACATTATCATCGAGAAGAAATGCTAATTACGTCTCTCACAACACCGTAAGCCCGTGCTGTACTTCGTGGAAGAGTGAAAAACAAAGAGAACTTTGTTCGTAAACACATTTTTTGAACAGAAATGAAGTTCACTGAGAACTTGAACCCGAGAAAACTTCAGATATGTGACATTTATTGCCTAAAAAGCCATGTGCGAAGAAATACTGAATTCTGAATTTTTGGTCGTAATGGCGGCCGTTCAAAAAAAGGTTGAGCTTGAACTTTCTTTGGAGAAGAGTGCGTTTCTTCGCGATAAATAAGGACATTTGCTGTCAGATGTGATTATTAACCGTGCGATGTACGACTATTAAGTCTAAAAACCAGTCAAACACGACTATTAATGAGTTTGTACGCAATTAATAGTCATACTTACCACTATTATTATTCGTGATAGAAGACGTGCTGCGGCAAACGAACATCAAGGCTCGATGAAATGCCAAGAAAATTGCAACCGGGGGAAAAATGCCAACCAAATGCAGGGGATATGTTACAGGGACATAACTTTAATCAATGTCGTAAACTGTAAGCGAATTAAAAAAGGGACTTGTATGATAGATTGTATTCAATTAAACACGTGGCGACTTAACAGCGTAAATGAATCTAACATAATAAAGGAACTAATAAACGAACCAAGAGCTACGGCAAACACAAGATATATATATATATATATATATATATACAAATATATATATATATATACAAATATATATATATATATATATATATATATATATATATATATATATATATATATACAAATAAAGACGAAAGAGCTTCCTCGAAGCGAGATAAACAACAAAACAAACGAAAACAACTTACATATCAGTCCCTATACGCCGGTGGCTTGAAATCACACTTTATAAATTAACTTTGTATGCATGCCAAACATGAACAGTGAATAATGAGACTATCTGAAGGAATCAAATGGCACAAAGGCCAACTGTA